TTATTTCTTTTTCTTGCCTGATTGCTCTGTCTAGAACTTCCAATACTATATTGAATAGGAGGGGTGAGAGAGGGCATCCTTGTCTAGTGCCAGATTTTAAAGGGAATGATTCCAGTTTTTGCCCATTCAGTATGACATTGGCTGTGGGTTTGTCATAAATGGCTTTTGTTATTTTGAGATGTGATTAGTGCCTGCTTCTCTCTGAAGTTGAAAAATAAGAGAATTGTAGATTGAAGTTGAGAATATTTTGATAAATGCATGTTTTATAACATATCTATTGAGAGAGAGAGAAAGAGAGAGATGCGTTCAGACAGGAGTCAATATTAATATGTACCTTTCCAAACTCTGTTTGCTGAGATGTTGCAGAAGCAGCAACACTTCAGAATTAATGAACATACCTAGCTCTCATGTCATGGTTTCTAAGTACTATTCTTCAATTTAAAGAAAAGCAAGACTACTTGTTATAATAGATAATTCTAGCACTGGAGCGGAAAATGTAAGTTAAGGTAGAATATTATGAAGCCAAAAAGTTTGAAAATGCTTTATAAACAACAGAAGCAGCCATGTCAGAGAAAATCAACCTGAAAGACTTCCCAGGAGCCCAAGCTTGAAAAATGTGAGAAACACAATAAATATTAATAGCATTGGATTAAAATCCAAAGAATAAAAGAAATATCCATGAATCCATATAGAGAAAAAAATAAGAAAAGAAAAAGAAAAATTCTTTTTTCCTATTAAAATTTTTTTAATCTTCTAGTATTTTTTAAATATTATTTTCATACTCCTTTATTTTAATATGTTTTCTTTCCATTTCTTCTTTCCTTTCCTTTTTTTTTTTTTTTTTTTTTTTTTTTCTACTCCATGCTCTTTTTTTTTCTCTAGACTGCTCAGCAGGAAGAAAAAAAAAATTCTTTACTAAACTCCAAGTACTAATCAATGTAGACAGTTAATGCAAAATAGGAAATCACCACTAGGACCCCACAGTAATAATTACTATAGACAAGATGTACTTTAAAGTGCAAAAATTGTCAGTAAAATTTAAAGGAGAAACAGTGTATTTACATAGCCCCAAGGTATCTGCTTCCAAATGTTTATAAATATAATTTCCTCTCAATTTCTTTATAAGACTTATGACTATTTAAGAAAAAAAGGTATAACACAGTCTTGTGATATATATATATAATGTGTAGATGTAAAATATATGAATAACACAAAGAATAGAAGGAGGTAATTGAAATTCTTCAACAGCAAGGTTTTCATATTTTACATTTATTAAAATAGTACAGTATAAACTCTAGGTAGATTGTGATACGTTATAGATGCATTTGGTAATCCCTGGAGAAACCACTAAAAATATAAAGAGAAGTCACTTAAATGTTAATAAAGAAATTTAATTATATACCAAAAAGTATTTACACAAGAATGTTTATACACGTTTTAGTCATAATAGCTTAAAGCAGGGAACAACCTAAATATCCATCTCTAGAAAAATAGACGAACAAATTGTATCTCATTCATCCAAGAGAATACTACCCAGCCATAGGGAAAACAAACAAACAAACAAAAAAACAACAAAAAAACAGAACTACTAAATCACAAACCCTGAATGTATCTCATAAGCCTGCCAGATAAGACAAGCGTGAAATAAAATAATACATATTGTATGATGTCAGGCAAAATGAATCAATGGTTAAAAATAAAAATAGCCCAGGAGGCTGAGGCAGGAGAATTGCCTGAACCCAGGAGGTGGAGGTTGCGGTGAGCCGAGATCGCGCCATTGCACTGCAGCCTGGGTAACAAGAGCGAAACTCCGTCCCAAGAAAAAAAAAAAAAAAAAAAAGCCTGTAGTGGAGAATAAAATTATCTGGAAAAAAGCATGAAGAAATTATCTCAGAATTCTTTTTAAATCCATTATTCTATGGAGTCACTCATACTAAATGTGACATAATCAAAACAAAAATGTAAGGAAGTAGGTAGATCCTAAAGCAGTCCGGGTTTTGTTTTGTTCTGTAAACAGCAGATTTTAACAAAAAATTTCTGCAGTAATTCTTTTTAGAAATAATAACCTGAAGTCCTTGTTTTCATTTTACAAAACCCACAGTTCTGCTATTTCACGGTGGGATTTGAGACTAAATAGGTACAGTTTTGATGGTGACAGAATGATATCAATGTCTAAAGTTTTGGTCTATCTCTGAAAATTGAGATGACCAAAAGAGAGAAATTGTTAAATCAATTATAGCCAAAGCTGCTTTTTTTTTCTGTTTAATTTTTGTCAATAAGTTTTCTGTACATAGTAAACTAAAACCTAACTGGATATGTAAATAGACAGTAACCCACCCTTGTACCAACAACTGTGTTATTGGCAACAAAAGGATATCAGCTGTTCAAACCACATTTGAGTAAGGCAAATCTCAAGCTGTAATGAATCTGGCTGTTTCTGTACCTCACTCCCACTGTGTATGTCAATGCTTTTTTCTGTTCGTAAATCTTTTTTCACCATGTGGCTATGTGCATTTTCTCTGAGCCTACTCTAGATCCACAGGCTGCCCAATTTGCAAATCATTCTCTGCCCATTTAAACTCTTTTTTTTTTTTTGAGATGGAGTTTCGCTCTTGTTACCCAGGCTGGAGTGCAATGGTGAGATTTCAGCTCACTGCAACCTCTGCCTCCTGGGTTCAAGCAATTCTCCTGCCTCAGCCTCCCAAGTAGCTGTGACTACAGGCGCGCCACCATGCCCCTTTAATTTTTGTATTTTTAGTAGAGATGGGATTTCACTATGTTGACCAGGATGGTCTTGATATCTTGACTTCGTGATCCACCCGCCTCGGCCTCCCAAAGTGCTGGGATTATAGGCGTAAGCCACCGTGCCCAGCCTTAATTTTTAAATTATTTTTTATGAAGACAGGTTTTTACTATGTCATCCAGGCTGCACTTGAATTCTTGAGTTCATGTAATTCTTTCATACCAACCTCCTGAAATGCTAGGATTACAGGTGTGAGCCACTATGTGCTTTTGCAAATTCTTGAGAGCATTATTCCCAATGATAAACAGTACTATATTGGCACAAATTTAAAAGAAATGTGGGCTGGGCACTGTGGCTTACACTGGTAAGCCCAGAACCTTGGGAGGCTGAGGCACGCAGATCCCTTGAGGTCAGGAGTTTGAGAGCAGCCTGGCCAACATAATGAAACCCCATTTCTACTAAAAATATAAAAATTAGGTGTGGTGACAAGCATCTGAAATTCCAGCTACTTGAAAGGCTGCGGTAGGAGAATTACTTGAACTTGGCAGGAAGATGTTATAGTAAGCCAAGATTGCACCACTGCACTCCAGCCTGGGTGACAGAGCAACGCCTTTTCTCAAAAGAAGTTAAATAAATTAATAGAAAATAAGATAAAAAGAATCTGGCTTCTATTGCAGAAGTGTCACTCTCCAGGATTTTAAGAGTCTAGGGCAACTACTTTAGTAGTGTCATCTACAGAGGTGCATGGGCTTTGGAGTCAGACAGAGTTGATCCTGAGTCTCAGCCCAGCCACTTAGTTGCTGTGTGTCTTTGGACAAGATTCTTGACGTGAAAGAGTTTTATAAACCACATATGCAAAATAAAAAAGGCAGAATGATATTGACTTCAAAAATTGTAGCAGTTTTTCATTTTTTTTGTATCCATGCCCATTGCCTGGTACTTTTAAATCTGTTCCTATCAAGATCCACCATAACATTTCCCAAACCCTAGATTGTGCTGACCTTATTCACTTAGAGCAGTAAAAACCTGTGAATCTGGCAATGTGCTAGTTTGGGAACAAGACTCAAAAGGTCTTGAATGCTTCTGTTTTTTCTTCTTTCAGAATGCTGCCATCTCCGTGAAAAATGGCCTGTGTTAGCCAGCTGGAAGATAAAATACCATGGGGAAAGGAAGCGAGGTGCCCCTGTTGACAGCCTCAGAAGCAGAAGCTCATCCCCAGAAGCACAGCTGCTTATTCAACAAACAGCTAAAGATACATGTCTGGAGGAGCTCAGCTGAGACAAAAAGAATGGCCTCACTGAGCCCAGCCTAAATAGCTGAGCATCTCAATTATGAGCAAATAAGTTTAGAATGATTTGTTATGCTGCAATAGCTAACTAATGCATGCACCCAATGCGGATGGGATGCCAGGATTCAATGACAGGTTGATTACTAGTTCCCTTCTAACAGTGGGCACATACTATAGGTACTTATTTCCCCCCCCAATTTAAAGTTGGATGCCTCATAAGAGAATGCTGAGTAATGCAGAAATATGCACGGACATGTATGCATGAAATTGGTGCCTATACTCACATAGCTCCCCCGCATCACATGAGAAAACAGATAACCACAGCCTGACCATTAGGGCCAAGACCAAATAGAAAAGTAAGTTTGCCTTTAGTCTGTTTTCTTCATATGTAAACACTGGAGGTCAAGACTGCACAGATTTGAATACATAGAGGTTTCTTCTCCTGTGGCCTTATCATCCTTTGTTCATCTTCCGATCTCTGGAAGAAACGTGGGCAACAAGTGGCCAGCAGTGGTCTACCTGTGGTTTTATTCTTGTTGTCCTCTGCTTTTTCTATGGCTACTATCTGTTCCTTCCTCAGAGATGAAGAGAGATGTTGGTAGGGAAAGGCTCTTTTTTCACCTTTGGCAGAAAAGATTTGTTCAGTCCCTTCCCTCCCCTGACATCAGAGCTGCACTTCAATGTAGCAGAATCTTGCTCTGTCATCCAGGCTGGAGTGCAGTGTGGCGGTCTCCGCCCACTACAACCTCCGCCTGCTGGGTTCAAGTGATTCTCGTACCTCAGCCTCCAGAGTAGCTGAGATTACTGGCGCCCGCCACCACACCCAGCTAATTTTTATTTTTAGTAGAGACGGGATTTTGCCATGTTGGCCAGGCTGGTCTCCAGCTCCTGACCTCTGGTGATCCACCCTCCTCGTCCTCCCATAGGGCTGAGATTACAGGTTTAAGCCACGGCCCCCGGCCTATCACTGCATCCAGCCCAGCATCTGATCACATCTTCCGTCACTGAAGGCCTGAGGGGGCGGGGATTTAAGCACTATTCAATCAGGAACGCGGTTGGAACCGTCCAATCAGGCACGCAGCTGGAGCGGAAGGGGCGGCCTCCGGGATGTGGGGCGGGACCGTTGTTTCTCGTTACAGTCCGAGTTCCAGGTCTCGTCTTCACTGCTCTGTGACCTCAGCGTCCGTGGCCCTGTGACCTGCTGCTGTTGGGAGATCCACACCTAAGACGCTAGGACCCCCTGGAAGCCTAGAAATGGTGAGTGCCAGTCCAACACCCCGAGAAAGGGAAAGGGCTGTGGCGGGACTCAGGCCTCCGCGCAGTCAGCGCCACAATATGCACCTGGAGTTCTCCTTGCCCCTCTGGGCCTCAGTGCCCTTCAGCAATAAGATGGCGGCTGCGCTGACAGCTGGGACCCAGGTGTCCTGTCTCTTCCCTGAGCAGTAACTGCGCCCTGGCCTGGAGCCCTCTCTAGGCAGCTCTGCACACTCAACACCACCTCTGTCCCAGATCATGCAGGGACCACGGAAGGGTTATCAGGGGAGAATCCTGAACAGGGTTCATGAAATGGGTGAGGGTTCGGGAATGGTCCGTGAGGTTTTCAGTTTTTCTTTTCTCCTATTAAAAATTTATGGGAGTCACCACTAAAATAATAAATAATTTAATCGAATTCAAAAATTGTGGAGCACCCAGCTGTGGTTTGTACTTTATGGTCAATGGAAGGAAAGAGTTTTATAAGGTGTGGTAATGAAGAAAACCAAATTCAGTAATTGGTTAGGTACGGTTACGTAGTTTCTTAATTAGTACAATCAAGATGGGAATTTCCTGGTTATGTAATCAAAGGTTAATTGGCTGTTTATACTTGGTTGAGCCTGAATTTTGTTTCCCACAATGTACTAATTTACCAAAAAACAAACAAACAAAAATGCACTTGAATTAGATTTTTTTAAAAAGTAGAAATCAGGGACTAGAGCCACCTCAGTCTAATTGCCTGCCACTTAATTATTTTTACACTCCTAAGAGGATTAATTTTCCCCTGCTTTTTTTTTTTTTTTTCTCCATTATAAAAAGCAAGGTTTTCTACATGGACTCATCTTGAAAGCAGGAAGCTTTTAAATCAAATATGTATAACAGGAAAGTGAACCAGAAGTGAAGAGGTTGAGGAGGAAGAGGCAGTTTTTTAATCTGTTATTGAGACAGAGTCTTGCTCTGTCAGCCAGGCTGGAGTGCAATGGCATGATCTCACTGCAATCTGTGCCTCCTGGGCTCAGGTGATTCTCGTGCCTCAGCCTTCCCAGTAGCTGGGATTACAAGCATGTGCCACCACACCCAGCTAGTTTTTTAAATTTATTTTTATTTTTTTTATTTTTATTATACTTTAAGTTCTGGGGTACATGTGCAGATTGTACAGGATTGTTACATAGGTATACACATGCCATGGTGGTTTGCTACATCCATCCCCCAATCACCTACATTAGGAGAAATACCTAATGCAGGTGATTGGGGGATGGATGTAGCAAACCACCATGGCATGTGTATACCTATGCCCCCATCAGGCCCCAGTGTGTGATGTTCCCCTCCTTGTGTCCATGTATTCTCATTGTTCACTTATCAGTGAGAATATGTGGTGTTTGTTTTTCTGTTCTTGTGTCAGTTTGCTAAGAATGATGGTTTCCAGCTTCATCCATGTCCCTACAAAGGACATGAACTCATCTTTTTTTATGGCTGCCTAGTATTCCATGGTATATATGTGCCACATTTTCCCTGTCCAGTCTATCATCGATGGGCATTTGGGTTGGTTCCAGGTCTTGCTATTGTAAACAGCGCCACAATGAACATACGTGTGCATGTGTCTTTATAATAGATCGATTTATAATCCTTTGGGTATATACCCAGTAATGGGATTGCTGGGTCAAATGGGATTTCTATTTCTAGATCCTTGAGGAATTGCCACACTGTCTTCCACAATGGTTGAACTAATTTACACTCCCACCAACGGTGTAAAAGCATTCTTATTTCTCCGCATCCTCTCCAGCATCTGTTGTCTCCAGATTTTTTAATGCTCACCATTCTAACTGGCATGAGATGGTATCTCAATGTAGTTTTGATTTGCATTTCTCTAATGACCAGTGATGATGAGCATTTTTCATATGTTTGTTGGCTGCATGAATGTTTTCTTTGGAAAAGTGTCTGTCATAGCCTTCACCCACTTTTTGATGGGGTTGTTTCTTTCTTGTAAATTTGTTTTAGTTCTTTGTAGAT